TGTCGTGCCAACGCCGGAGCGCAAGCGTTTCGGAACACCTACGTATTCCGACCAAAAAGATGTCGCTGCGATAGTGACGTCCCCGACAGCGGCAAGGCTGCCTACTTTGATGTGGGCGGTCTGGCAACAGCGCAACTCGTCCAGAGAGACTGGGCGTTTCGCGTGTGACTGCGACTGGTCGGCCCGCTTCTTTGAACCTCTCCAGAACTGCGCTGACCGGTCGGTCCATGCATAATCGAACTGTGTTGTTAAATTGCGTTGTTGGTGCCAACAACGCACCGCTGCGCGCCAGTTGGTGGCGGATGACCAGGACCGGTTGTCCACCTGAGCGAACGACATCATAAACTTCACGACTGGATCACATGGCAACAGCTGTAAGCCAGTGTGGGACTCGATCGAAGATCGAAGGTAAGGTGCGAGAAGAGCAGCTATGCCGCTTTACGGTGCTCTCCTCCCAAGCCGCCTGGAAGCAACAGTGGATGGCTGATATGGTCCTACTGCGATGCGCCCCCTTTTCCGCAGAGGCGCTCTCACAAACTATGGACAAGAGGCCGGGGCCCTCACTCAGAAGCTGGCGCGCGCCTGGAGCGTCGACGCGCGAGGTCGGTATTTGCACGAGCGGCGCAGCGGGGCCCGCAGCAGGTCTGGCCGACGGGCTGGGCTCGCAAAAGGCTCGGCGCACCCGGGGGCGCCGGAGATGACCGCGAGGGCGCCGCGCGGGGCCCCAGGAGCTCTGGCCTCTCGGCGGGTGGCCCTCGGTGGACGAAATCATCGCGGTGCAGACAGTCAGAGCCCCGAATCATCAGGGGTATCTCGGGTCAGGGCTAACTCGGGTTCGCTTTTCGGGATTCCGAACCCGAGTTACCCCGGGCCCGAGTTACCCCGGATAACTCGGGCGTCCAGAGCCCCAAATCATCAGGGGTATCTCGGGTCAGGGCTAACTCGGGTTCGTTTTTCGGGAGTCCAAACCCGCGTTACCCCGGACCCGAGTTACCCCAGATAACTCGGGCGCCCAAGACAGGCGGGGCCGAGGCGCCGGCGGCGCGCGGGCTCAGGTGACTTTGGGCCGCGCTTCATCTTGAGGGGCCCTATAGGGTCGCAGCGGCCCCTCCCCGACGACCGGCAGACTGGGGGAATGCAGCGGTGTGGGTGTTCTTCCCTTGGCCAGAGGAAACAACGATTTCCGTATCGTGCGTCGTTGCAGCGTTTTCTTGGCCCCGGGCCGCCAGGGCCGGGATTTTGGCCCTTGGCAATTGTGGGCCAGGCAGTGGCTATTGTCTATGGCGCGCGCGCCCGGCCACCGCATGTTTCCTCTTGCCAGAGGAGCCAAAACAGTTGAAGCGGAAATGTCTTACGGGGGATCAGTCCCAGACGGCCGCCTGTGCCGCGCCTCGGTCTTCGGTGATATTTGGCACAAGGCGCCTGCGCGCGAACCGAATCCAGCAAAACGCACGACGAGCGACCGAACGCGACTAGCACAGCCCAGCGACCCCGCAGAAGCCCCTTTCCCGAATGCGCAGCCCCCTTGGAAAAGGATGCCTCCTCCTCCTCCTCCTCCTACTCCTCCTCGTCCTCCTCCTCCCCCTCCTCTCCCCCCCCTATTCCTCCTCTCCTCCCCCGAGGAGGAGGAGAAGGTGGAGGAGGAGGAGAAGGAGGAGGGGGAAGAAGAGGAGGAGGAGGAGGAGGAGGATGAGGAGGACGAGGAGGAGGAGGAGGAGGGCGAGGAGGAGGAGGGTGAGGGTGAGGAGGAGGAGGAGGAGGAGAGGGAGGAGGAGGTGGGGAGGGGGAGAGGGAGGGGGAGGAGGAGGAGGAGGAGGAGGAGGAGGAGGAAAGGAGCAGGAGGAGGAGGAAAGAAGGAGGAGGAGGAAACATACTAATAATATTAAGAAGAAACATGTTAATGTTAATGCCACTACTAAGACTAACAATACTCATATTACTACTATTCATATTAATAATAATAATAATAATACTAATACTTTTAATACTACTAGTACTACTAGTAATAACCATACTATCAATAGTATTATTATTCATACTAAGAATAGCAATGATACAACTAATAATGATGATACTCATAATAATACTAATAATAAGAATCGTAGTACTAGTAGTAATAATAATAACAACAACAGTAATAATACGAATAATAATACAAATAATAATGATTTTACTACTACTACTACTACTACTACTGCTACTGCTACTACTACTACTACTACTACTACTAACATGAGTAAGAATACGAATGATAAGAATAATAATCATACTAAGACGAAGACGAATAATCAGAAGAAAAAGACGAAGAAGAGGCGGAGGTGGAGGAGGAGGAGGAGCAGGAGGAAAGGAGGAGGAGAAGGAGGAGGAGCAGGAGGAGGAGAAGGGAGGGAGGGAGGGAGGGAGGGAGGGAGGGAGGGAGGGAGGGAGGGAGGAGGGGGAGGAGGAGGAGGAGGAGGAGGAGGAGAGGAGGAGGAGGAGGGGGGGGGGGGAGGTATGATGATGATGATGATGATGATGATGATGATGATGATGATGATGATGATGATGATGATTGATGATGATGATGATGATTATGATTATGATGATGATGACGATGATGATGATGATGATGCTGATGATGATGATGATGACGATGATGATGATGATGATGATGATGATGGTGGTGGTGGTGGTGGTGATGGTGATGATGATGATGATGATGATGATGTTGCTGATGATGTTGATGATGCTGATGATGACGATTGTGGTGATGATGATGCTGATGATGATGTGGATGATGATGCTGATGATGCTGATGATGATACTGATGATGATGATGATGATGATGAGGAGGAGGAGGAGGAGGAGGAGGAGGAGGAGGAGGAGGATGCGGATGAGGATCAGGATGAGGATGAGGATGAGGATCAGGTTGAGGATGAGGATGAGGATGCTGATGCTGATGCTGATGATGATGAGGAGGAGGAGGAGTGAGTGAGTGAGAACAGTCGCGAAGCGAAGATTCAACAACACACGCCCCCCCCTGAGCTTGTCGAAGTAGGCGACGAACAGGAAGGAGACGCACTTCAATCCGTACACGGCCGGCTGAAGTGAGCAAGAAAAGAAAATTGCCTTGGAACCACCACGCCCCCAATGCCACCACCGCGATGCCGACGAACACGAAGATCAAGAAAGATGCACCAGTTCCTCAAATGCCCCTTCACCCTTATTGCACAGCACTCCAACGAAGTAAAAATGCTCAGGTCCCTCGGAATATTCTTCACCGTTATTGTACACAACTCCACACACCCCCAATTCGTCTGCCTTGCGCGGGCCAGGCTCAGCCAATGCAGAAACTGAAACTGTAACAAAACAGAATACGTCTGCCTTGCGCTGGCCAGGCTCAGCCAAAACACCCGAGGGATGCCGAACGAGGAGTAGACGAACTTCGCGACACACATCGTGATGGGAAAGCGGAAAAGAGAGCAGAAGGCACCATGACAGCTACAAAATACAAACATGACCACCGTATGCAATGTGAAGCCCCGCGAACCGGGGAAGATAAATCCCACGGGCATCCACGAACGCCATAAAATGCAGCAGGAGGATCGAACCTGACTCTGACACAACATTCGCCCCGCCCTTAGCCGATCCGCGCCGCAAGAAATTCTCCAGAGGTGCGAATAGCCACAAGCACGCCGCGTTGAGGCGGCGGGGCAGGGCCCATGACGCGTTTGAGCCTAAAGATGGATCTACGCGCCTTGGGCCCCTTGTGCTTGAGGAGGAGGAGGAGGAGGAGGAGGAGGAGGAGGAGGAGGGAGTGGAGGAGGAGGACGACGAGGACGAGGGGGAGAGGAGGACGACGAGGAGGAGGGAAAGGAGGAGGAGGAGGACGAGGAGGAGGACGAGGAGGAGGAGGAGGAGGAGGAGGAGGACGAGGGAGGAGGGAGGAGGGAGGAAGGAGGGAGGAGGGAGGAGGGGGAGGCGGAGGAGGCGGGAGGAGGAGGAGGGGAGGAGAGGCGGAGGAGGAGGAGGAGGAGGAGGAGGAGGAGGAGGGAGGAGGAGGAGGAGGAGGGGAGGAGGATAGTGTGAGGAGGAGAGGATGATGATGAGGAGGAAATGGAAGAGGAGGAGGAGTAGGAGGAGGAGGAGGACGAAGAGGAGGAGGAGGAGAAGGAGGAGGAGGAGGAGGAGGAGGGAGGAGGAGGGAGTAGTGAGGAGGAGAGGATGATGATGAGGAGGAAATGCAAGAGGAGGAGGAGGAGGAGGAGGAGGAGGACGAAGAGGAGGAGGAGGAGGAGGAGGAGGACGAGGAGGAGGAGGAGGAGGAGGAGGAGGGTGGCCCAGACTCCCGACTTCATGTTTTCGTTCATGACGTCGACCCCACGAGGTCTCGTTCATTACCTGGGACCGTTGTTTCCTCCTGAGTCGTCTTTTGACGGTCCTGGGGCCTGGTGAGGGCCCCCAGAGGCCGAGCACGACGAACAATTTTCATGACCCGAGGTGGTTCCCTGGGGGGGACAAAGACGAGGAGGGGGGCAGACAGGGCCGCCCGGTCGTCGACTCCCTCGTGCGGCCTCGCCGTCTGTGAGATCCGGCGTAGCGACAAAACTTGCAGCATCGTAAAGAATCACGCCCGGAGCCCTAGACATCGTCTTCCTGCGTCATGTTTCGAACCGCATCGCTCTGTGAGGGGCCCATGGGCGGCCCACGCCCCGAAAACACGCGAAAACGTGCGGCTCGAGCAACATTGAGGCGCCAGGATCCCCTCCTTCCCCCCTCCTTCCCTCCCTCGACTCAGCGGCTCATCCCTCCTTCTGAATATTCGGCCGTCATCTGCTTTTAAATCCGTGGAGGAGGAGGAGGAGGAGGAGGAGGAGGAGGAGGAGGAGGAGGAGGAGGAGGAGGAGGAGGAGGAGGAGGAGGAGGAGGGGAGGAGGAGGAGGAGGAGGGAGGAGGATCTCTGGGCTCGTGCGGCCTCGCCGTGGCAGCTACCGCCGCCGCCGCCACGCCAGGCAGCTCGGCGGCGGCGCCGCCGCCCCCGACGGCGTGGAGCCGCGGCGCCACGGTGCGGCGGGGCCACGGCCTGCCGACCGGGGAGGCGCCCGCCCCTCCGGCGGACCCCCGCGGCGGCCCGCCGCGGCAGCCTCCTGCGGCTGCCGAGGGCCCTCATGGCGGCCCTGCGCGGCGGCCCCGCGCAGCGGCCTCGGGGGGCCCTCGGGCGGCTGCCGCGGCGGCCTTCGCCCGCTCGTTCTGTCTCGGCGATCCCGGGCCTCGCGCTGTGTGAGAAAGGCACCGCGGCCCGGGAGAGGTTTTCTGTGATGCTCGGTCTCGGGGGGCCTCGGGGTCTCGGGGCCGTCCAGAGATGACTCGGGGCGAAGAGAACCGGTACCGGGGAAGGGTCCGGACCTCTCGGGGTCGGCGTTGTGAAATAGTGGCGGCGTCGGTGGTTTTGGGTTGATCTCGGCCATCGGCGCTCGATCCAAACCCGTGTTGTTGCCCCCCACTCCTGGGCGCCAGGTGCAGCAGGGCACAGAGGTGAGAAGTATAGCCTCAGAGGCCAGGATCGTATCCGTGTTCCCGCTCTGGCCCCTCGTGGTGGTCGGGGCGTGAGCAGGGACATGGATAAAACGTCGATCGCCGATGTTGTAACGCCCGTGGCCGTCCCCGCCCCCCACCCCCTCCCCCCCTCGTGCCGGAAGCGGCAAAGAGGAGGGTGATGACTGTGGGGGGGCTAGATATCACGGCAGGGGCCATGATACGTCCCCGTACTTCATGGTTCCCTTTTTCTTTTTTCAGCACGTCCCCAGGCCTCCTCCCCAGACCCCCGACGTCATGATTTTTCAAAACGTCGACCCCCAGAGGTCTCGACCCATTTCCCTGGACGGGCTTTTCATCCTGGGTCGTTTCTGACGGCCCCGAGGCCCAGTCAGGGCCCCCAGAGGCCGAAGACAGCGAAACGCTTTCCGTGGTGACTTCTTCGTGCCTCCGAGGGGGGTCTGTGGCCCTTCGTCCGCGCACGGGGTCCTCGGCCCAGGAGCTGCGAGAGCCCCGCTTGGACGCCGCCCCTCTCCTCGACGCCCCCGGGGCACGCGTCGGCGGCCCTCTCGGCGGCCGTCGGCCGCCGGCCCGCGGCCCTCGGGTGCAGGGGCTGCCTTCTTCGCGGACGGCCTTCTCAAAAGGGCCAGTCCAGGCTGGGGCTGGGGGCCGCCACTGCAGCGCGGGGGGGCAAGACGCCCAAGATGGCCTCCAAGACGGCCCCGAAGCGCCCCAAGAGGGCCCCAAGCCGGTTCAGAGAGGCCCCCAAGACGGCTCCCGACGGCGTCAGACAGGCCAGGAACGCCCTAAGATGGCCGAAGATGCCCCCGAGAAGTCCCAAAAAGGCCCCAAGAGGCCCTCCAGAGGCTCCAAGAGAGCCCAGAGGGGGAGGCGGCGCGTGTCGTGAGTTTGGCGTCGACCAGTAGCCGCCACCTGGCCGGCGGCTCGCAGAAGAGCGGGGCTGCCGCAAGGACGACGGGCGGGCTGCTCTGGCGGAAGTGTTCGGTCTGGGCGGGGGGGCAATGGTCAGCGGCGGCTCCTTCATGAGGGCAGCGCGGACGTTTCTCGAGAATCTTGGGGGGCTGGCTTACTACTTCGGGGCCACTGCCGGTGGCGCGCTCGTCGAAGCCTCAGGCTGGGCAGACAGGTTTAGGACGCATTTCGAATTTCTGAGTGCACCGCCCCACCTCGAACGTTGAACGGACGTCGATCATCGCTTTCGCGCAGTCGGCCCTCCTGTCGGGCATGGAAGGGCGCGTGCCTGATGCCTAGTGCTTTTCGGCTTCGGATCAGACTGTGCTTTGCGCACTTCATCGGGGTCTGGGGGCCCCAGGGCCTCCATCAGCGTCGTGGCGGGGAGCTGCGTAGATGGTCGCCCCATCGATTTTGGCAGTTCTCGCGAATCCTAGCCCGTCGCCCGTGAGCTCTAGGTCCGTCGTATCAAATTGTACCGCAGCTGGGCTCGCACCCCGTCTGGCCACCGAAAGGTCTGCGCAGCCGCTGAGGGAAGTCTCGGGCACGACGACTCGATCGGCGAAAACAGGACCCTCCACCCCAGCGCGAACCCGTCGGCGAGACACCTTAGAACGACCTGCAGTTCGCCTGCGGGAGCTCGGAAGAGTTCCGGGAGTTGGCGCCCGTCGATGTTCTTCTCGCGAGGATTTTAATTGTGATGGGTATTCGAATTTGGTGCATCTGGATCTCGAAGATTCGAGCGAGCTTCTTCCCCCCTTCGACCCGACCCCCGTCCGAGACAATCGAGCCCGCCAGCGTTCTGGATGAGAGCGCGGAGGAGGTGGATGGTCGACCTGACCTCGCTCATTTTAACGTGGGGCTGTCGGGAGATGGTTGACATTGCGGTGCATTTCTTTGCGGCGTGAAGCGCCTGCCCTTGCAGGCGGGTCGGGTTCATCGGGTTCGAAACGAGGCCTGCCTTCCAGCCGTCACGAACCAGCGTTTCAGGTGCCTTCAGTCTCTCAGTTCCAGGGGAAACGCCCAGCGGCGCGCGGTGCGATCTAAACAGAAGCACGTCTGGCATCGCGGCCGCAGCTTTTATGAGGCACAAGGAAACCATCACTCCAGCGAGTTTGGGATGCCTGATCTGCAGCTTCGCGGCTCAAACTTTGCCCGACCTTCAGATGCGTGCTCGGGGCCGTTGTGCTCTCCCACCTCCGCGCGTCGTCAGTGCGCGGTTTCGTCTGCGCCGCGGCGCGCGTGGACCTCGCGGCTCTGCGCGAGCGCCATCGGCCCTCCGCCGCGGCAGGGGGCGGGGCGGTCGCGGAGCCGGCTGGGGGGCGCAAGAAGCAGAATATCGGTGACCTCGCCGACGAAACCGAAGGAGCCGCAGCTCGCGCAGAGGGCGCGCTAGGCGCCAGAGATATGCAGGCCGCACTGATGGTCTTGCTCCAGATGGCGCGCCAACGCGCAGCAGTTATGGGGCTCGGCGGCGCCAGAGGGGCGCGGCGCGATCGCGCCGGCGCATTCGGCGCTGAAGGCCAGATTCGCGCAGAGGTCGCGCACCTGGCGACAGCCAGACCCGGCTTGGATCCGCTTCGTTTGCGCATCGCGCTCGCCGCGTGCAGATGTCGGTCGGGCTGTCTTTCGGGCTCTAACTGGGCGCGGACGGACCGCCCAGCAGCGCGCTTGGCAGTAGATGCGCTCTACAAGAATCTCATTTCAGGGGCCTCCGCTTCGAAGCTCGGGATGATGACCTGGCGCTTTCGTTTCGAGAAGTGCCGCGGCGGCGAGTGCGCTCGGGCGCAGTTCCCAGTCGCCGACCAGCCGGGCGCGAACGCGCTGTCGAAGGCCAACGGGGGATCTCGTGCAGCGAACTGGAGATGCAGCAGGCCAACAAGCACCTGATGGAGTCCATGAGCTGCAAGCTGAAGATCGGGGCGGGCCCTCAGAGGCTCTTGGAGGCGCCAGCGCAGAAGCTCATCGACAACGCCAAACCCAAGAGCCAGGACAAGCAAGGTGGCGGCTACTCCTGCAGGGAATGGCTTGGTACTACGACTGCTTAAAGAGGCACTCGTCGGATGCGAAACTTCACGCCCAGGGAGAAGCTTCGGTTTTCAGATGTCGTGACTTGGGTCGCACTCTATTTCGCGGTGGACGTGACGCTTCAGAATTTCACCTGCTGCATTCCTGCTGGCATCTTGATTGCCGTCGGCAGCTTCTTCCTCAGCTCCTACGACCAGACTGGGTTGTCTGCGATAACTATATACTGCACTCACGAGGCCGGGCCACCACCGCATCGCCGCCATACCAGGTTGCCAGGCCAGGCCCCGAGTCGCCCTAACCAGCACGTAACACTGCTGGAGCATAGCAGTGGCGATGAGGGTTTGGGCGTTCTCAGATTGGATCGTTTCGGTCTGGCACACTTCTTGAGAGTTCTGCTCAAAGATCCGACCTGTGCGCCTTTGTTTGTGGATTGCTGAAGCCCCGCAGCCGCGACTGCACCTTCGACGTCGTCGTTTGGGATTGCCTTTATTCTGTGGCCTTCAACCGCGGCTGTCCTCTGCCGACCCCTCCCTCCCCTGGCAGAGATTTCATTGAGCTAAATGCGCGACTCCGAACGTTGTCGCTTACGCCTGCCTGTCCCATCTACTGTTTTTTCGCTCCCCTCCCGCCCCGTTGGCACGACCGCCTTGTTGGGACTATCTGAGCGCGAGTGGAGGCGTTGGGTGAGGAGGGTGGAGGCTTCTCAGAATGAACTTGAAATCTTGACCGGGCGGGGCGGTTGTGTCGGTGCCCTTCCAGACACATGCAGTGTCGGCGGCTCGAGCTCAAGAGTCCCAAGGGGCATCACCCCCGGGGGCATCGGAGAGTTGTGATTTACTTCTTCCTCATCGAGCGAAGTCTTCTGCGAAGCTGCGCGGTGCGTGGTAATCGTCACCTCGGGTCCCAGGGGTCACGATTGTGCGAGATGCAGTTTTCAGTCAAGCTTGATCGCTCAGCTCTCAGCATGCCAGGTGATGATACCAGACACGCAAGGCCGAGTATGCTTTTCTCTTCTTCATCCTCTTCCTCCCTCTCCTTATCCTACTTGTCTTCCCTCTTCCTCATGTGTGCTTCTTGCAACTCAATGTCGCACACCCATGCGTTTCGATTAGGCGGGCCGGGCGTTTCGCTCGAGATTCCTTCATCCCGTATGATCCTGGTACCTGAAGCGTGCAACAGCTTCTGGCATGGAGGGTGTAAGTGTCAACATGTGGCTCATGCGCTGGCGCCGCGTAAATTTGCTTTAACAGGTTGCAGCGCCTTCAGGGATGGAGGGCTGCAGTTTTTGAACATGTGGTTCTCGCGTTCTAGCTCCGCGCACATCGGCTTTAAAACATAACAGCACATTTAAATCTTGTGGTTGGGCCGTTTTTCAAGATGTTGCTCTCGCCTCAGCCACACGCGCATTGTCTTAACGCTTTAAACAACGTCAAAGATTGAGAACAGTTCCTTTTCACAACGTTGCTCTCGTCTTGGTGCCGCGCACATCCGTCGTAAACGCTTGCAACAGCTTCAAGGACAGATGGCGGTTTGTTTGAACATGTGGTTTTCATGTTCTAGCGCCGCGAACATTCGTCGTAACATTTTGCCGCCTTTCGAAGATGGAGGGTCGGGCCGTTTCAGAATGCTTCGTTTGCCTTCATTGGCGTGGTTTACCAGACGCGTATGCGATATGGGCCTAATTTTTCAAGCTTCTAAAAGCGGATGCGTCACTACCAGCTACGAGGCAAAGCGTGGCATTCGGAAGTTCACCAGGGCAATGCGCATCAAGGTTTACAAGCACATGAGGAACCTTGGACATGAGTTGTGTGGACGCAAATGCCGATGGGCCATTGAGAGGAAGCGATGTGCAGGATTGGCTGCCCGAAAGGATGAGCTACGTGCGCTTGTATGCGGAGCGCGACGTAAGGTCAGGAAACTCTGGAGAATAGGGCTCCGACCGGCCGCTGCCCATGGCGCAGGCGTAAGCGGGATCACAGATGAGACGTTTAAAATTCTCAGATCGGTCGCAGCTGCGATTGCAGGAGCCATGCGACACGCATCAATAACGTCATGGTTAGCTACACAAGCCGATGAGTATTTCGATCCGATCTACGACGCCACCGTCGTACTTTCAGTCAGGTGTGCTCGTGTGATGTGGGGCGTTTTTTTGTTTGTTTTCTCTGGTTGACCTCCAACGTGCGTTTCAGGCCATGCTATGCGAGATTGGGGACAAGCCCACGCGGGCAAGATGGCATGGGCCACTATCTGGAACATACTTATCTTTGGAGCGAGTCGGATGCAAGATGACCTCTGCCCACCTCATTCGTGACGACCAAGGTACTGTGACCTCGCTGTTCTCCACCACGCCCTTCGATGTCAAGAGGAAGCTGCAGGACACTATTGGGCGATGCCAGATCAGGAAAAGATTGGAAAACATCCCCGAAGCGCTTGGGCATGGAAAGATTTGGAGGCGTGGACTTAAACGATCTATCTTGAACACACGTGATCACGTACGGAGGGGGTGTGCGAGGTTGCTGCTTGGCCCAGGGTGCTGGCCGCAAGCGAGGAACATGCAGCTGGATATCGACTGACGCCTGCCTGTGATTGTTGCCCACACCAGCAGGCACGCTTGGCAACCAACTCTACGATTACCCAGTTAAAACACACACACACATCAGAGGTTTTTGAAGTGGAGCCCCTCCCAGACGACCTCCTCGAGCACAGGAAAGCTTTAAAAGAGACGGGCGATGTGGCCCTGCAGGCCGAATGAGACACACTGTGAGCTCTCGTATGGCCTTCCTTTGTAGCCTCTTCGCATTCCTGAGCTGCAGGGCCCCCCTGTAAACCATTGGGGTGCAACTAAAGGGACCTGCGGACGGCGCACATACACCGACGGCTCAGGGCTAAGCAGCCCTAGCCCAGAGCTTAGGAGGTGTGGATGGGCCCGTGTTGAGGTGAGCCCCTGGGAGCTTCCCTGAGGGCCGTGTACGGCCCCTTCCTGGGCGTCAGACGGTGCCCCGTGCCGAGCGCTACGCGGCCCTCCGTGGAATACAAGTTGCACCCCAGGGGGTCGATGTGGTCACGGACCATCTACAGCTGGTTCGCGAGGGAAGCTCTCGGGACCCTGGTTTGGGATCGGCGAGACGCGCTCATGCTGATATATGGCGTGAGATTTCCGAGCTTCACCGTGAAGGCCGAACCAGGCCTGAGTTCGTTTGGGCCCCCGCGCACCGTACGCTGGACCAGGCTTCAGGATCCGATGAAGATGGAATCCAGAAATTCGTTGGGAACCTCTGGGCTGTTTTTTCGATCGACTGGGCTCGGGAATGCATCGAGTTCCTGATGTTGCAGTCCAGGCCGAGCGTGCTATCTCAAAGAAACACCGAGCCACTTGGGATGTTTTGTGGAGAGCCGTGCAGATTGTGAGCGCTGCGGGGGAGCAGCTGGAGCCTTCACAGCCCCCGCAGAGCACCCTGACTGGCCAGGAGATGCACCGAACCTACATAGGGCTGGTGCTGCAGCAGCATGACTGTGCTATATTCCAGCTCGGCCGGTGTGGAGATGTAGGAAGTGCAATATCACAGCTCGTGCAGAGCTCACTTTAAAAAGGATGGCGTACTGGTGCCAGTCGCAGGTGCGAGCCGGCGGCGATCCAGCAGTGGAGAGCGTCCAATTTCTTCCAGCAGCTGAGCGGGACTGATGTCATTCTTGAGCCTACGCCTGCGGCTCTCGCTGCCATGGAACTGGCCAGTGAGATCCCGGGTCCCCCCCCGACCTCCTCCTCGACTGTTTGTGGGGACCTGGAGCCGCCTCCCCGGCCTCCTGGTGATTCTCTGGACCCGAGGGGCCCTGGCCTTGGTGTGCATGTGGATGGCCTCGATGCCTTCCGTGAACTAGACCGTAGGCCGATTCAACAGAGCCGTGTAATCATATGCCAGAGCTGTGCACGCTTTGTGACCTTGCCCGATGGGAGATGCAGAGGCCTCGCGAAGCGTTGCCCAGGCCCTCCCAAGATCAGAGCGAAACGTGCGGCCCATGTGCGCGTGTTCCGCTTTGTGGAGAGAGGAAAGAATCCTCTGACGGGTGAGAGTTTATCCGAGCCCCGACGCTCCTCTGCCCCTGGACCACGGGGCTCTGCACAGCCTGCTCCCAGCCAGGATGGACCTTTCGGCGAGGAGACGCGTCGGGGGCTGCCATGCGACAGTCGAGGGCGGAGGCGGCGGACGTTGACTCGGGGGACGCGTCCGACTAGGGCGGCTGCACGACGCCGCTGCCCACAATGTAATTAGCCACGGGTGGTGCCAGGCCGACTTGCCTTGCAGCCCCTGCGGTCGCTCGATGCGGCCAAGCCTGCGCGACTCGCCGCCTCTCGGCGCCTGGCGCGGGCACCTTCCCTGCTCTCCATCCTGAAAGGCAGGCTCCTCGGCCCACCCCTCGGTGATCTCTTCGCGGCCGCAGCTATCGAACCGACTGCTGCTGTGCCGCTGGTACTCTGGTACCCTCCTCCTCCTCCTCCTCCTCCTCCTCCTCCTCTCCTCCTCTTCTGTTCCTCTTGCTCCCCCTCCGATACCACTGTTGCCAGAAACCTGATGCCGAGCATGATGCCTCGCCATGCCCCCGCGGCGACCTGGAGGCCCGCCCGAGGCCTTCGAGCTGCCAGGCTGGCCCTCGGCACCAGCAACCAAGAAACCAACTGCTGCCCCCAGCTGCGTGCGCTCCTGCGCTCCTCATTCTTCCTCCTCCTCCTGCCTCCTCCTCCTCCTTCCTCCTCCTCCTCCTCCTCCTCCTCCTCCTCCTCCTCCTTGTTCTCCTCCTGCCTCCTCCTCCTCATCATCATCCTGCCTCCTCCTTTTCCTCCCCCCCCTCCTCCTCCTCCGCCTCCTCCTCCTGGCCATCGCACTGAACCGCTGACGGCAATAATGTCGTCTGACGTAGCCATCCCCCCACAGGGCCGGTCGGCCCCACATGGGGGGGTTCATAGAACTAGTGAGCCAGGTGACGCCAGGGGCGGCGGCCCCTGGAGTCACCGGCTGGTGGGATACGGTGCAAACAGTAGTAGACGGCAGAGGGCAGCAGATGGCAGAAAAGACACAGGCGAAGAGGCGAGCGAGGAATGAGAGCCGGGCCATCCAGTCGCCCTCCTCGTGGGTTCGCGCTCCGTGCCGCAGGCCGCCGCAGCCAACGACGGCAGCGGCTACCTCGACCTGCCGCTGGGGCGCTTCGAGCGGCTCGGGAGCGCCACCCCCGCGGAGGGCCCGCCCACGCGCCCCGGCAGCCCGCGCACGCGCCAGGGCAGCCCACGCACGCGACAAGGCAGCCCGCGCACGCGCCAGGGCAGCCCGCGCACGTCGCCGTGCACGCCGGTGACCTCTGGGGCGGCCGAAGCTCAGAGTCGGATGTGGCCAGGGCCGCGGGTAAGGGGAGCTGGTCGGCGCTCAGGCCCTGAGCCAAGAAGACTTAGCCAGAATCACGAAGCGAGGTCTGCCGCAGCTGGTGTTTCTTCGGGTGACGGCGGTTCGGGGAGGGTGACCTAAATCTTGGCATCGCTCGGACGTGTGCATGTTTCTTTCGGCATCCTTGATCATTTTGAGAAAAGACCGCGCACGAGACCCCAAAAAACACGGGGAATGGACGTCCGAGCGATGGCCAGAAATGGGTGCTGGAGACAACGGCCCTAGATGGGGTCCTTTTTTATGGCCCCGTTGGCGCCCCTTGGGGGCCCCTGCGGGCTCCAAAAGGGGCCCCTAGAGGGCCCGCTCTGGGCCATGCTCTTCACCTCCTGTTCAGGTCCTCCCCCTCCATTGCCGTCGGAGCCCTGAAGAAGGAACCCTTTTCGTTGGGGAGGGGCTCCGTGTTCCTTAAGTGTTTCGCAGCTTGCCTCAGGTTTTCCTTATGCTTTCGATCGGAAATCGAAGTTTAACTTATGGAAAAAGGGGCCTCGTTCCTTATTTTGGGTTCCTTAGGTCAAGGCCCCGGCTGTATTCAGGTCCTCCCTCTCCATTGCCACCCGCCCAAGGCTCAGAGGAGCTAGAGGTCATGATAATGATACGCTCCAGGATTTCGAGGGTTTCCAAGATCCCCGAGTGTCCCACACGGGCTGAAGAAACGAGGGTCGCTGGATACTCCAGAAGTCCTGAAGCGCATCCTGAGCCAATCCCATCATGACATCATTCCCGTCCTGGAAGCACTCGGCCCCGGCTGCCCGCAGAGAGGGGGAGGCGCGAGGGGGGTGGGCTTCTGAGAAGGCGGATGCTCCTTGGAAGGCGGAGTGGCCTTCTTTCTCAGAAGGGCCCAGAGGCTTTAAAAGAGTGATTCAGGAGGGGAAAAAACACACAGACACAATTAATCGTCGATCCCCCAGAAAATATGGGAAAATATGGGAAGTGGTGGGGAAGACAAACACACAGAAAAAATATGAAAATATGGGGAATCTTTTTATTTGTGTGTATTTATTTGTGTGTCCTGGCGCCCCTTCAGTGATTCTTAGAGCCGCGAGGGGCTTCTTAAATGCGCCCTGTCCTGTTGAACATTCCTCCGCCTTCTAAGAAGGACGGCCCCCTCGCGCCACCCCTTTGTGCGCGCCGCCGAGGGTCGTCGTCGTCGTCGTCGTCGTCGTCGTCGTCGTCGTTGTCGTCGTCGTCGTCGTCGTCGTCGTCGTCGTCGTCGTCGTCGTCGTCGTCGGTGGTCGAGCCCAGATCTCTGACAATCTGTTTTGCTCCAATCCCGGCGGATTTGCCCTCGAAGTCGGCTTCTGGGGCCCGTTATCGGGCTCAGAGGACCATCACAGTCCAAGGCGCTGGGGGTGAGCCCAGTCGCCTGAGACGCGGGGATTGGTGCAATCTTGGCGAACAGGATGGGGGGGCGCAGCCAAGAGCCGCAGAGTCCTGTGAATTGAGTCCGGTGGGGGCGCAGCCCCCCCCGCCCCCCCCCCAAAAAAATCAAACATGGCTCGGGGACGACATCTACCCCCGAGGGAGCAGTCGGGAGCTCCCTGGGGCCGCGGATTTTGGAAAGATCCGAGCGGCGAGTGCCAGGCACCGTCGAGGATGGAGGCTTAAGAGGGTGTGGAGGCCCTTGGGCGCTGCCGGGCCGTTCCGTTCCGCCTCCCCGGGGCGCCCCCCGAGGCCGTGGCCGGATCCGTCATCGGCATCACCCAGGTAGATTTCTACCATGCGCGCGTCGGCCCAACAGGGGCGCAACGCGCGCCCCGAAATCTTACAGTACGAGCGCCGTGGCGGGCGCTTTCTGGCCATGCCGCTTGGGCAAGGCTGTGCTGCAAGACTTCTGTACTGCATGTTCGGGTCGGGCTGGCGCCACTAACAGAAACACGTAGTACTAGTAGGTCCGTCTGAGTCCTACGCCACGGCGTTCTGGCCAGTTCACGCCTCAGGATTGGCCTGCTCGGATGCAACTCGGGAGGTCAAATTCTGATGTTGCCCGGGTCTGGAATCCGGCTTCATCTGGCTGGATCCTGCGAAATCGAGCTCAATCCCGTTCGAACTGGCCTTAATCCTGGTTGATCCACGGCCTAATCCGGCGTAGCAGCCCGGCAATGGGGCCCAGTTCTCCCCAGCCCTTCCGGCGAAGGCCCCCCAGCAGTGTTGCCTCCGAAGGCCTGGGTGGTGGGCGGGGGGCTCTCTGGAGGCCGACGTCGCCACGGCGCCCTGGCGTCCCACGGGCGGCCGGCGGCGGCGGAGGCGTCGGCATGGAGGGTCGAGAGCTAGGTGGAGGACCAGGAGGTGAGTCACCGAGCGCCTTCCACTACTCGCAAAGTGCCCACTCGCAAGCGTCCGAAAATCACATGTCCTCCCCGCGGCGGGTTCGGGCCATTTGCGAGTAGTGACGTTGCGAGCCGTCGAACGCGCCTGTCGGCACAGCCCACCCCCAGCCCCAGCCAGGGCTCCCACCTTGGGATCCAGGGGATCCCGGGAGGGGGGGGGGGATGGCTTCTGGGGCCCCCGGGGCCGACAAAAACACCCTACCACTCCCGGCCAGGACCCCACGGATCACCGGGTCGAGAGGGGGGAGGGGCTCCCGGGCTTGGGGGGGGGGGGGGCCGGGGGAGCTGTGAACTCCTCAGCTTCCTCATGACGTCTGAGTGCGCGAGCCGCCTCCGCTCCTCCGCCGGGCGCCGCCCTCCTCCTCCTTATCCCTCTTCCTCCTCCTCCTCCTCCTTCCTCCTCCTCCTCCTCTTCCTCCTCCTTCCTCCTCCTCCTCCTCCTTCCTCCTCCTCCTCCTGCTCCTCCTCCTCCTCCTACTTCTTCATGTTGCGAACTGCCGCTCCAACTTCTTGCCGATGCACTGCGCGACCTCCCGCGCATCGTCTCCGGCCACTTGAAGATGAAGAACGTGCTTGTTATCTGGCACCAGCGGGGGATGCCTGCCGCCTTGCGGCCTTGCAGTGCTCGTACTAGCAGTCGTGCGGACTCGCGCAGACTCTTGGGGAACACCCAGCGGCTTAGGACTCTCGGCCGCTGCTTCTGCGCACTCGGCGGCACGCGAACACAGGAGGTCAGGGCTACGCTGCTTCCCGCGCGGCCCTGGGCTTGGCAAGGTTCACCACCTTCATGGAGAAAGTTAATGGCTCGTAAGCGCCGCCTCCATCGCACTGCGCCGCCAGCGGGGCAAAACATCGGACTGGCCAACGCCGCCATCTGCAGCTCTGCTTCATGCACGAGTCGCCGTACTGCATTTAAGGTTGCTGCTGGCGCCGGGGGCAGCAGGCAACTGCACGAGTTTCACGACAGTGTCCACGTTCCAGAACAGCGGAGTTGCCAGATTCTTTCGATGGGCCACGGGACGCCGCGAGCGCAGCAATACCCTTACCCCAGCCGCAGAGAGCATGGGCAACGCTTGCGGCGTGCACGCGCCGGGCGTCGGCTCCGAGAAGATCGGCTCGATCTCGTGGAGATTTCCCGCCTCGGAGTGGAGGAGGCGCATGTTGACGGCATTTGGGAGCCATGCCAGGACATCGCCAGTTGCTGGTCCGTGCAAGTTATTTGAAGAAGAAAAAACGCCATGAACATGAGAACTTTTCGGCGCTCCGCGCGGATTTCTTGGATCCGCGCTGGGCCCCCCCGGCGGCGCCTCCAGCGCCGCCCCTGGCGCGGGGGGTCCAGCACGGATCCAAGAAATCCGCGCGGAGCGCCAGAAGTTTATGCTTAGGCCGCTTTTTCTTCTTCTATTGACGGCGCCTGGGAGCCATGCCAGGGCATCACCGGTTGCTGGTCCTGGTCGGCGGGGCCGTGTACAAGTTACAAGTTATGCCTGACGGGGGTGGCTCCACACCTTACGAAGGAGGTCCTGGCCTCGCGGCGAAGGCAGCTCAAGCTGAATCATCGTCGCACATTTTGTCAAAATGTGCGCTTCCCTTCCCAATCGACTCATGCAAGCAGTGGCGACGAGTCCTTGCTTGCCTATAGGCCCACCGAAGAATATTCACATAACCTTTGGTTGTCTGCACGAAATGTTCTCAGAACATTCCTGGCTGAGACTGTATTGTTTTAACACATCGGGCTTATGTTCTAAGAACAATGCTTTTCTTATTAGAACACGGTTGGGTTCTAAGAAGATTTCGTGGTAGGCCTGTAGGAATGCCAGCACGGTCGGTCCCTGATCAACTCATGGTGCTTCGAAGCCCGTCTCGCCCAACTTCACCGTCAAGTCGGCGGTCCCTCAGCATACCTCGGCAGCAGCGCCGCGCGCGACCTACCCAGGCTGCGCCGCGACCTCTGGCCGGCTCACGCGGTGATGCTTGCCTGCTCCGTCTGGCGCGTCATCCGCTCTCTGGCTGCCGACGCCATCCCTGGGTGGTCGCCCGGACGCGTCCGCCTGGCGCTGGCTGGGCGCCGAGGTAGGGCTCGCCGTATCGCCCCGTTACCCGCCATGTCCTTGCAGACCGGCTGTCACACCCAGGCTCGCAGCAGACGCGCAAGCCTTCGGGGCAGCTTTGGCCTGGCCGGGCGTTCCCACACCCGCCGGGCAGGTGGAAGGCGAAGCATGTGCGCTCTTCAGGGGCCATTTCGGTTCCTCCGGTTCGATTCGATTCGATATCGATGGTCGCCGATTCTGATTCGATTCGACATCGGATTCCGATTTGGACTCCGATTTCCCACTGGAGGCCTACTAGCCTGCCGATTTTCGCCGAATCGATTTATCCCGACTCGGATGTCGATTTCCGCCGATCCGATTCACTTCGATCGCCGATCCGACTGATCGATTCAATTCTGGGATCTCCTGGTTCTCTGGATGGGGTCTCCCATGATTTCCTCAGGAGCTGCTCCAGCATGTTGGGCGGCCCCTTGCGCTTCCCCCCTGTTTTTTGCCCTCTCCGCCTCTTGCTTTTGCTCTGGCCGCTCGTGCC